GTGTGCAAGCACAGCTGTAGTTGCAGTGCACTGCTCTCCAACATCTGCAAATCTGAGATAGATCTGTAAACTCACCTACAACCCAAATAATCCACTACAGGTAAACAAGATTGTCTGCGGTCACATTTTGGACCAATCTATCACACATCCTTCATCTCTGAACTCAGAGAACCGGCCTTTCGATACTATTGAGGGCAGCTTAATTCTTGGAAGCCTTGCATACTGCATGGAGTTATTAGAAAGCTGTGCTGCCCTTCTCTGTACTGTTTGTGTCTAAATGGGTTGTGGAAGGAAGTGGATAAGGAGGGAAACCATCTGTTTCAATGCTGATTTTCAACAGGTTTATGAAAAAATAAAATAATTGTACGACCTAAAGCATGTGATAGCAGGAAACTGCATTCTCAGGGTACAGGAATTTCAGTCCTGTTTCCTCACATTTCAATGTGTTTGGTGCAGCAAGTGACATTGTAAACACAGTTACATCCAGCACAAACCCAAAGTTTGCAAAAAAACCCATCAATCTATTATTTCAGTTAAAAAAAATCTAGAAATTATGCTGAAAAACAGCCATAAGCATCCACCCAGGCCATTTCTTCTAACCCAGGGCTAGACAATTTTTGGGACAACTATTTTTTGACTTCCTAAAATCCTCTGTTGACAGGGATGTCATGGGTTGCCCAACCCATTCCAGTGCTCAACTACTGCTGTTGTTTACACAGTGAACACATAAGTGTTGAATGACATTTGTGGTTGCCAAGCATCTACAGCACTCTTTCTTCAAATACTTATGAGGAAGTAGTAGAATTATCTAGCAGATCTCTGTTAGGCTTTTTTGAGAATCTGATTTAGGCATAAATCTATTGTTTTAAACACTATATTGGAAGGTAGGGATTGCTTTGTCTTGTTTTTCTTTATTTAGATTAACTAATGGGAAAGTTGAGGGTATAAGATTCTACTTGTGGTTGATCTTTGCAGGGGATACAGTCATGGAATTATGGAATCACGGAATCATAGAATCACAGAATGGCCTGGGTTGAAAAGGACCTAAAAGATCATCTAGTTTCAACCCCCCTGCTATGTGCAGGGTCACCAACTCTAGACCAGGCTGCCCAGAGCCACATCCAGCTTGGCCTTGAATGCCTCCAGGGATGGGGCATCCACAGCCTCCTTGGGCAGCCTGTTCCAGTGCGTCACCACCCTCTGTGTGAAAAACTTCCTCCTAATATCTAACCTAAACCTCTCCTGTCTCAGTTTAAAACCATTTCCCCTTGTCCTATCACTATCCACCCTTGTAAACAGTTGTTTCCCTTCCTGTTTATACTTTCCCTTCAAATATTGGAATGCCACAATGAGGTCTCCCTAGAGCCTTCTCTTCTCCAAGCTAAACAAGCCCAGTTCCTTCAACCTTTCTTCATAGGGGAGATGCTCCAGACCTCTGATCATTTTAGTGGCCCTCCTCTGGACCTGTTCCAAAAGCTCTGCATCTTTCTTGTGCTGGGGGCCCCAGGCCTGGATGCAGTACTCCAGATGGGGCCTATGAACAGTAGGAATCAAAAACTGCTCTTATATATCAGTTTGATAATCATTTTCAGGATAAACTGTATTTCTCTACAGGTGGTTGTGACCACCACAACATTTCTTGTGGGAGGGAGTGCTAATAGAGTGAGTGCAAAAGAAATCAAAAGAAAATGAGGCATCATCTGGAGTAGTATGTTCAATTCTGGGCCTCTCAAGTACAGGAGAGATATGCATATACTTAAAGGACCAGTGAAGGGCCACAAAGATGAGGCAGGGATGGGAGCATCTCCTCTCTGAAGAGAGGCTGAGCAAGCTGGAACTGTGCATCCTGGAGAAGAAGAAGTTCAAGGGGATCTCATCTCTGTGTACAAATAACTGCAAGGAGGAAGCAGAGAGGACGGAGCCAGGCTCTTTCCTGGTACCCAGTATCAGCACAATAGACTACAGCACAAAATGGAGCATGAGAGGTTCCATCTGACTATGCAGGTGATGGAATACTGGCACAGGGTGCCAAAAGAATTTGTGAAGTATCCCTCCTTGGGAATCTTCAAAAGCCACCCTGCTGTGGGTGCTTGAACAGGCATTGGACCAGATACTACCAGCAGTACCTTCCAATCCTTAACCATTCTGCAATTTCATGGCTCTGCAAGGTAGCTTTCCAAAAGTACTCCATTAATGAATAGGAGTTCAGAATGCTGGTAGCTGGTGGTCACAAAAATGAAGAGTGGATCTTAAATGTAGTAAGAAAACACATCAAGAAAACATTTATGGAGTAAATTCTATGTTCTGCCATTCTATTATTTAACAATGTGGGAGGGCAACAATATGGAAAAAAGGTTAAGAAAATACTTTTAATCATAAAAGACTGCAGACAGTATCTTAAAGTAACTGTGTATTGGCTAACAGTTAGACTTCACAAGAGCAATTTGAAAGAAGCAAACTTTATATAATTTCACCTTGGAAAGGGAAAATGGGCAAATTCATCATAGTTAAAAAGAAGAGAAATGTTGATATAACTTGAAGTTCTGAGCTCCAGTCCTTTAAGTGCATCAAATAGTCTTCTATAGGACACTTTTATTTACTTCTGCTTATTGCATCAGGGCCTCTGTCTCACGGCCTATGTCACAGATACACTTAAAGATATATAGGTACCTTGGACCCTACTTCTACAGTTTACAGTCTGTGGATGAGGTGTGGGCCCAAGGACTTAACCTTGTCTTTCATGACGACAGGTTTCTGTTCTTGGATTGAGATCTCTGTCCTATGTCTTTCTAAGTTATCATGAGAACTTTTGCTCCAACCAGCAGTCCTACAAATATAGCATTCAGAATACAATGTTTCTGAAAGTACAAGAAAGGGCATTTGTTGCCACCATCTACACGTTTATTCTTTCTGTTTTGTCTTTTTATTCTATAGGAAATTAGTGTCCTCTCTGTTTCCCATCTGCTTCTGCATATCACATCTTTGTGACATTTATCTCCAGTCATTGCTCCTGTTCCCATATTCTTGTACTCACTCCTGCATTGATCTGGACATATTTTTGATCTTTTCCAAGTAATCTGATCTGTTGTCAGTGCTGATGCTAATCTTACTGGAACAGTGTCACCCCTGGAATTCTGAGGGTGGAATCTAAAGAATAATGTGCTAAAAGGTATTATGGGGTGCATAGGAAATTGTTCTTTGGACAGGAATAAGGCAAATGCAGTCTACAGGATGTTCCTGTGTCATTAGTATCTTACATGCTGTCCTACAGTACCAACAGTTATTAAGCCACTTGATGGGAAATACTTTTAATCATAAAGCTTACTCTCTAAGCTTCTGTGTCCCTTCTTCCTGAACAAACATATGACAAATGATTAATATTAAGCCAAACATTGCTCATTTAAGAGATAATTAAAAAAAAAAAAAAAAGTTATTGCTTAACAACTCTGTTTGAAAGCAGTGTTTTAAAGGGGATCACGTCATAAAATGGGAGGAAACCCAAGTGGCAACATAGAGCAATGAGCTGAGACTGGTAACAACTGAAGTCAGTTAGCTAGGCAAGGCTGTCAGAATTTACAGAGAGATGAGAACAGGTCTGTTTGATTTGGAGTCAGGTTTTCAGCAATATTTCTTCATTGCACAATCGTTAGGATTTAACTCTTATTTAGAAAATAGACTTGAGCACTCAAGATTGCAATGTCCATCTGTTCACCGTCATCTCAGAAGATCTTTTCCTTCTGGCTTGGAAGTCTTAAAAAGTAGTTTTTTTGTCACTGCAGTGCAGTTGATTTCCAAGGAATTTTAAATGGCACTGTAGAAGTCTTCATTTTTATGGGACAGCCAAAACTTCCTTGGCTCACCTGCCAGCTCTGTTCTGACTTGTGTGTCACACATCTGTCTGCTCACACCACAGCGTTGGACAACTACTGAGTTTATGGGAATATTTGTGACTGCTCTTAATTGAGATGAAGGCTATGACTCCAGCAGCCAACAGCAGGCAAATATCATCTGTGTAAAAGATATGAGCGCTCTCTTTTATAAAAATGCATTATTGTTTCTGGCACACTCTAGATGCTGAGCTCAAGTGCTGGAGAATGAGATTGGGACATTGTGACTCAGCTGTTTGCTGTATAGCATTCATTAATATGTTTTGTATTTTTCTGCAAGGACAGTTATAAATAGTTTTGTAAAGGTCAGATGGGAACCACTAAGCACAATCCTTACTCAGCACCACAGGGGAATAACTTTCTCACTATTCTAGACACTCTTGTGTTTCCCTGACTGCTTTTACTACTGAGATGGTGCCCTCTGCATGTTGCTGGCAGTAAAGAGACTCATCACATACTGAGGTGAAAAGGAGGACAAAGAACCAGAATGAATGCAAGGAGCTTGACTCTGCCCCATCTCCACGTGCAAGCTAGATTAAAAGGCTATAGTTCTGATTCAGGGTTCCCTGAAGTCCATGCAAATATTTGTATTGATTTCAGTGGCTTTGGATCTGCTCCTGTGTACACAGATATAGCAAAGTATTTTTCCCAAAAGGGAGCAAAGTCTTGTTTTCCTTTCATAGAGAGAAGGTGAATGCTGATTCTCAGCTCAGCTCCATCTAGGTGTTGCTGGGCATCTTGAGCTGTTGTTAGATTTCTAGCTGATCCCTAGCCAGTCCTCCTCATGTGTATCCTTCCCTTCTTGTCATTAAAGGTGAAGGAGAATGATGCACAGAGTTTTCCACCCTGTAGTTTTGAATGTGAAAGAGATAATCTAAGAACAGAAACTTTCATGGAATGTGCCAGTTTCAAATGAGGGAGAATTTAAGCCTTTATTACCCAAGGCATCTATAAGTGAGTGTGACAATGCCTTCATTCTTTAAAAGCACATTTCACTTGTGCTACCATACAATTATACAATCTTTTTTTTCTTTAGTTTTATTTTTGTAAGCCTTTGTACCTGAAAGTTTTGTTGTTTAATTTCTTTTTTTTTTTTCTTGGAAAATATAGATAAAAAAAACTTACAAGCAAATAAACCCTGAGGCTAGAATCCAGGTAAGTTCACTGTATCACAAGCCACTTAAGTTCATGTTCTCACATCTCTTTGTGTGCATCCCCCCTTGACATGACGTTGAATGTAATTTATCTACAAGATTTAGTGTCTGTGGCATGTTGCAGGCATCAGCATTAGTGCAAAAATACGTAGTAAGGTCAAGCCACAGGGACCTGCATGATTTAAAAGAAGGGCTTTATCACCCATGTTTTGTCAGTTTGATTGGCTACTGTTGAGGTAATGGTCTGCGTTTAATCTGTCTTCTTGACTTTTCAAAGTTTCAGTCTATCGCGAATGTTGATCAAGCCTCTAACTATAAAACTCTGCTTTGAAATTTCAACCATGACAATTTCAATATGTAGTAAGATTTTTAAACAAATAGAACTTTATAAGATTATATCATATTATTTTTCAGCTTGAAGGAAAAATTGAGAGGCACTGGTTTCTCCTTTTTTGAAAGAAGAAACTTTTGAAACACAAAGGAGCTCAGTTCTTTCTTTGAAGTATTCCTGAAATATGTCTCTAAAAATCAGTTTTGGTTCATCTGTAGAATAAGTCTCTAGATAAAATGCTTGTAAATTAAAATATGGTTTGGAGGTAAAACATACAGTAACAGATTTTACAACTTCTGAAATGTCTTAATATGTGATGGTATTTTGACTAAAATAAATGCACTCACTTTTGGTCAATAATACAAAATTTTCAAGTTCTTTCTAGAATACCAATCATACTTGGGACAAAGTCCTTCTAAGTCATCACCTTCCTGAAAGAACACTCAGTAAGGGCTACTGGATGAAGTAGGCAAAGTTCTTTGCACCTCTTATAAACAAGAAAGAAATAGGAAGATTACAGCATGCCAGAATATCTCTCTTTACTCCCTTTTTCTGTTTAGTCTGAGAAAAAATATGCCTGTGTTTTTTTTGCTTCACTGTTTATCTGGTCTCTCTGAAAACATCTGGAGTTGATTTTCAGCAGCCATAGGAGGAAGAAAGAACCCAGAGGATTGCTTCCTATGCTCTTGTGATGGTGGAGAAGGATTGCAGGAGACAGTGAAGGTGGGCACATCTGTGGGCAAAGCGGAAGAAATTAGGGACATGGTGGCAACAGGGTTGCACAGAAATATCAAATATTGGGGTGAGAGAATTGCGGAGAGGCAAAGATTACTAAATTTATGATTAGAGAAAAAAAAAGCACATGGAAAAACAGTATTATCACTTTGGAAGCAAGGACTGGTAGGTTAATTACAGAGACAGAAACGAGTGAATGTGAGAAATTAGATTTCTTGGATTCAAGACCAAAATCTCAGTGAACCAAACAAGAAATATCAAGGGTGCCCAATGAAGTACTGAATGAATACTTAGAGAAAGCAAGCATGTAGAGTTGTGAGAGAAGCTCTTGAGCAGAGCAGAAGTTGAGAACATGTGATTTCTTCCAGTCTTCTGAAATAGCGATGGCAGGCATTGCTGTGAAATATCCTTGTTCTTAGACTCTCTATGGACACTTCTCTACATTCTCCAGATACTGGTGGACCTCCTTGAAGGTCATGTCTGACATTGGATGGAATGTCTGAGAGGTGTTACTGGTGAGAGCAGAACCTGCTGAGCAAAGGAGAGAATATGAAAACCTGGCTTAAAGGTTAAAAGATTACTTAATTGTTTTTTGTTGGTTTTGTTTGTTTGTGTGTGTGTTTCATTTTATTTTAGCTTTAGTTTTCATGTTAGAGTGTATGCAAGAGTTAGAGCTACAGAGGTTTCTTCTTATTTTGTGCCATTCCAAGGCAGCTAGCTGAGGGCTCAGCAATCCTCATTTTTAAGATCCTTGCTATTTCCAGAGAATTCTGAGATGAGTGACGAAAATCCCTAAAACCAGCTGCTCCTGGCCCACGCCTTTCGGTTTCCTGCAAGGAGAAGCTGATTCAGACACAGATGAGATAGGGAACTGCTAGACAGCATGGCAGATAACAATGGTGTCTTAAATGTAGTGTGTAGTTGTTGACTTTACATGTTAGAATGAAGAAAGAGTTAATCTTGGGTAATGTTTGTTATCTACATCAGTGTCATGAAACTATAGGGGAGAAGTAGGTAAGGCAGAATGAAGAGCTATAAGGACAGATTTTCCTGCTGTTAAGTAAAGGCCCACTTTTTTAATAGCCAGCCGTGTCAATGATGCTAACATAACTTATCTGTGATCTGGTAGTACGCCCAAATTACAGCATTGTTGACCCCATTCCTTGGTATCAACTTTGCTTGGAGAGGAGATGAAGTGTCAAGACCTGCTTGTTGTCACAAACTACGAAAGAAGGATTCAAGAATGCTTTCATGTGGAGCTTGTCAAAGTAAGTTTCATGTGTTGCCCTCAAGGCTTACAGGTACACCTACCTTCCTCATAAAGCATGAGCATGAACCTTGATGTCTAATTTGCCTGGTCCATTGGAGAGAGTTGCTATATGATTAAAGTATCTTGACGTTTCTGAGTTAGATGAAATATTTTTAATATAAGACAGAGTCAGAGGTTATAGCAATGGTGAGGTGCAGATATATGACGAAAAAAAGGCATTGTTAATTGCATAGGAAAGACTTGACAGAATCTATTATACTACCTATCACTGAAAACTTGGTCTAAGCGTGCCTTCACTTAAGGTGTTGTAAAGACCTGCATCATGAATTCAGACAGGACACTTCAGACAATACCCTAATGCAAGCACTGTTTTGGGAACACTGTTTTAGCAGTTTGAATGCAACAAAAGGGTAAATCCCTGAGACTGATGCTTTTTAAAGGAGTGATTTTAGAGAGGGAACAATATACTATGGTGACAAAATACCTGCGCTGTTATCCAACTGTCTTAACTCACAATTCATTTGTGTAAGGGGCGAAAATAGAAGACATTACAAATAATGTAAAAATCTCTAATATATCTCAAAAAGATTGTAATAATTATGTAAAATAAAAGAGAAACACATTTGTCTGAGCATGAGGTTGGAAATTGGAAGAATGGTGATAGTAGTAACCTGTTGTGTCAAAGAACACACAGCTCTTCGTGAGCTGCTAACAGACAATTATACAGTCTTCTGAAAAAAAAATAAGAGACATGGCTTTAAATTTGTTTCAGGAAAAACACTGTAGACTAAATGTCACAGGATTCTAATCTGTATGTGGTGTACAGAGCTAAGTCAGAACTGTACCATGCTCAGGTGTAATGTAGCCTTGCAGACAAATGGGAATGGCCACATTGTCGTTGCTTGTCCCTGTGAATAGGCAGGACAAAAATGAAATTACTGCACCATTCCACAAGTGAGTGGAAAAGAGAGTTTGGAATTTCGTTTACCTTTCACTTTTCTACATCCAGAGTTGCCTGAATCCTTGCAAAATTACATTATCCTTCAGTAAGACTTTCAGCAACCTTCCACCTTCCTAGTGCTATTCAGGTGTGCACTGGTCCTTGCCTCTTTCTCATCTCAGCAAAAGACATTAGTGATGCCTAAAAGTAACTGTATCTTCAGAATAAGAAAACAGTATTTTTAATAAGAATTTTATTTTAAGAAGATGAACTATCCATTCCCATTCCATCAGAGCATGTATTTAAAAGTTATATCTACCAGGGGAGACTGTTGAAAGTTCCAGATACAGTGATGTTATTTTTGAGCATGGACATTTTCTTCCAGAAATGCAGAAATTAGGATAATCTTTATTTTTTTTCTGTTGAAAGAACAGCCAGGTCTTCGGCAGATACTCCCAAATGTTGAAGTTTTCCGAAGGACGAGTTTGGATGATAGAACGAGAGGGTAGGAAATGGGCTTTTGTAAAATGTATGCCTTAAATAAATAACCACAGAACCATAGAATGGCTTGATTTGGAAGCAATACTCAGAGGTCCACCTAGTTCGATTCTCCTGCAATGAACAGGGACATCTACATCTAGATCAGGGTGCTCAGAGCCTTAATCAGCCTGATCATGAAGGTCTCTGAGAACAGGGCTTCCACCTCCTCTCTGAGTAATCTTTTCCAGTGCTTCACCACCTATATTATAAAAACCTCTTCCTTATAGCCAGGCCAAATCTACCCTCTTTAGTTTAAAGCCATTTCCCCTTGTCCTGTCACAACAGACCCTGCTAAAGAGTCTGTCCCCTTCTTTCTTATAGCCCCCTTTTGAATACTGAAATGCCTCTCTCAGAGATTCCTGGAGACTTCTCCAGGCTCTGAACAGTTCCATCTCTCTCAGCCTGTCCTGGTAAGGGAGGCATTCAATCCTCTGGTTCATTCTTGTAGCCCTCCCCTGGACATGCTCCGACAGGTTCATGTCTCTCCTGTAATGAGAACTCCACACCAGGACGCAGTAATCCAGGCAGTGTCTCACGAGGGCAGAGCTGGGATAGACCAAAATCTACTGTGAAAATACGACCTAGAAGGTAGAACTGAATGATCAGGACTTATCATCACAGCTTTTAAAAAGAGGCCTTTAAAAAAATTAAATTCAGAGTATATTTCATATTTCAAGAATGTCTGAAATAGAAGAGCACGGACTGATAAAGCAGGATAAACTCAGGTCTTTTGTAGGAAAATAATATTTAGAAATAACATTTCTCCCTTCTTTTAACATTCTGTGGATGAGTGAATTATTCCTGGCACTTGCTGGGAAACTAAGGCCTAGAAGTTCTTCTTTACTAAATATATGTATTTTTTCTGGGACAATACTTTGATATGCTGTTATGGGAATTTTATTTTTGAATGTTTTGCCTATCATTTAAATTCCATATATTAAATTAAAAATTAATGCAGATTTACTTGGGTGACATGGAAGAAGTGAATTCATGTGGAAAATGCTGCCTCTGCATAGATAAAACTGCATTTAAAAATATAAATCATAGTATTTAAAATCAATACTAAACAATTGGTAATTGCACCATTTTTTTTCATGTTGAAAACTTACTGTTTTAGACATTAATCAGATATATAGGAAAATAAAGTCTTTCTTTCATTCTTCAAAATCTGAATGACTCTTCTTAAATTAATAACTACATTTCAGTGCATAAGACTCCAGTTCTTTAAATGATTCAGAATGCAGCTTTGTTTATGAGCATGCAACTCATTTGTCTTAAATGAGTTGCATATTTGAGGTCAAATTTCTACAAAGGGGTACAAAAGTTATAAGCTAGTCACGTATATAGTACATTCAGTGTAACTGCTCACATATGGTCAGATATTTATGAGTCTAAGAATTTGCAGAAGGGGATCTGGATCTTGCTTTAGATTCTGGCCCAGTTTATTACTTTGTCCAGAAGTGAATGTGTGATTTAGATCTTAGGCCTGAATCTTGCAAACAGTTAACGCCTGCTTAAAATCCACATCTCTGAACTTTTTTTAAGGTGTGTTAAAATTAGAAAGATAAAATTCTCTGGCCAAGACTTTCTCATTGAAAAATTATTTTCTCTTGACTTTCTCATTGCTGATACCCACTGGTATCAGCAGAGCCAGGATTTACACTAGTATCCGTGATATATGAGTTTTCATAAGCCACGAGCATTGTGCATATGCTCTCAAGTTTTTTTATATGTTGCTTCAGATCTTGTTTAATCTTTATTTTCTGACATATTTCTACTCTAAAACCAAGAGTCAAAAGGTCTGTAGGAAGTAACGGTTACCTCATTTACTGCTCAGATGATCATAATAATGGGTCAGTAATTAGAGGAAGAACACTGCATGCTTGTTGTGTAAAAGGGATGCATCTCTGAATAGCATTTTACTTGGCACATTCTTAAAAGACACTCAGGTTGATAATTGCCACAGCTGATTGCAATAAAGGCTAGCAGCCCCTAGGGATGCTGGGAACATAAAGCCATTGAGGAGTCCTGTAAGAGAATAGCCCTGTTTTGTGTTTTTCTAACCTTATAACTAATGAGTTAGGGGTTTCTCATTTCTTGATGCATACAATTATGGAATAATTCAAAGAAGAAGAAGGAGCTTCGGAACCTAGGTGAGTTTGTTCTTTCAAAATTCAATCCGATCTTGAAAGCCTCTAACTTCTCTTGTCGTACTGGCCAACTACCTTAGTACTGAACACTTCTTTGAGGGCACAGAAACTGCTGAGCAGGTTTTATATGTTGTTGTTTGGGTTTTTTTGGAGGGGGGGAAGGAAGGGGGGTTGCACAGGTTTCAGTGCAGGATTTCAGTGATACATATGACTTTTCAAAATCTTTGACTGGAAATAATGATTGGTGATGTGCTTATTTGGAACATAAATTATTGTGTTACAAAAATCTGTTTAATGTGTGCCAGGGAAATAAATCCTTAAATTGAATGAAAGCAAATATCCAATGGGGATCTGTAAGAATGGCTATTTAGGTAGCGTACTATTATCTGTGTATTGTGATAAATGAATTTGATAGAACATAAGTGTGGTAATTGGGTAAGTGGAAAGACTTCACAAGAAAAAGGCCACCCAGGAATTCGATCATATCACTATTTCTGAGTAAACCTTTTCCCTGATTTATTGTAAGTATTCCACTGAGCTTATTGCTAAGGAACAATAGAGAATGCTGCTGTGATTACAGGAAGAGAGACGTGAGGCGTTCCAATTTTTCTCAGTTTAACAAAGAGCCCAAGTTCATACAAGTTTATGTGGATCAGAGACTGACCTTCTGAAAGAAGGCAGTCGAAGGGCATATCCTTTCAACACAGATTTAACTGCAACAGATCTACACCCAGACTGAAAAATACAACTACTGGTTATTGGTTTTGTTTATGGGTGGCTTCATGAATATGTTTGTAAATCCCTTGAGGTAAAAACAGACCATTTACCACAGGAATCTATATGATAGGGGCTACTATACAAACTGCCTTTTTTTAACCTCAGAAATTGTCCATGAAACTGAAAAAAAATGCTTCATTTTGAAATCCTGGCTTGAAATGGGCATGATTAGAATATCCATGATTAGGAGAGGAAATATGAAGTGGTCTATGAGGGCTCTTTTCAGGAAGATCCTTGCCTAAGCACAGTTTTTGCAAAGTTGTTGGAAGCATAATGGAACATGCTGAGATCAGGAGGATGTCACTAGGCAGTGTCAACATGTCCCTGTTTGAGAGATGCTAATAGAACTTTAAATCATATTTTCTGCTCCTTAAGCCTCATAACATGCAGTTTTCTTCATTGCAAGGATCTGAGTATGTTTTCTGAGTTTCAGCATTGATATATTTCTAGGAAACGGAATACTGAGTAACAGACATGAGGTTGAAATAAGAAGACCTTACTAACTTTTGTCTAAATTTGATTCTTAATTAGCCTCAATTAAATAGATTTTCTTAATTGAAGAAGCTTTGTTTAAAGCTTTAAATTGTTTCATGTCCCATTTCACCAAGCAACTATT